GGCCACACTTGTACTCTGCCTGACCCAGATCAGTAACTGGCTGTCCAGCAACTTTCTTGTTCTAAATGCCAACAAGACAGAGACCCTGATCTCTGCACCCCCGGAACTTCAACCAAAAATCGAGCAGGAAATTGCCTCCTTTTGCCCATCAGCCAAGGCCAACATTAGAAACCTGGGAGTTATTTTTGATCCGGTTTTAAGTTTAGACTCACATGTCAAAACCATCTCCCGCTCTTGTTTCTTCCAACTGAGAAACATTTCAAAAGTCCGTAAACTGGTTTCTACTGCAGATCTGGAAAAAATCATCCATGCCTTTGTGTCATCACGCTTAGACTACTGCAATGCTCTTTTTACTGGTCTCAGCAAAACCTCCCTGTCACGCCTTCAAGCCATCCAAAATGCAGCAGCCAGACTCCTAACCAAATCCAGCAGACGAGCTCACATCACCCCAGTTTTACAGTCCCTCCACTGGCTCCCGGTATAATATAGAATACAGTTTAAAGTTTTAGTGCTGACCTATAGAGCTCTTAACAACCAGGCTCCAAGCTACCTATCTGAGCTTTTATCCCCACACACCACTTCACGGAACCTCCGATCCACATCTGAAAACCTCCTGGCTGTTCCTCGAACCAGACTAAAAACCAAAGGGGACAGGGCCTTTCAGTCTATTGCCCCCAGACTTTGGAACAGTCTGCCTTCAAATCTCTGTCTCTTGAAATCTGTAGAGGTCTTCAAAAAACATCTTAAAACTCACCTTTTCATCCAGGCTTTTCCCCGCTAAATATTCTAAAAGATGGCTTTGTTCTTGTTCACACCTTGACTTTGTTTTTACTCCTGATTTTGGTTACTATTGTCACTGCTATTGTTTTTATGATGTTTTTATTGGTTAGAGGTATTTGCCCTGATTTTACTCATGTTGTACAGCGCTTTGTGATTTATATCTGTGAAAGGCGCTCTACAAATAAACTTTACTTACTTACTTACTTACTTACTTCATTGTCTCTGCCCTGTTCGAGCTTTAGGGGCTTATATGGACAGGACTGCTGGTCTCAGAAAATCAGACCAGTTGTTTGTTTCTTGGGCCATGGCCCATAAAGGCAAACCTGTGTCTTGCGAGAGACTGGCACACTGGATTGTAGAAGCGATCAGCCTTTCATATAGGTGTAAGGGTGCTGAACCCCCTCTGGGGGGTGAGGGCTCATTCTACAAGGAGCATGGCTACATCTTGGGCCCTGTTTCGTGGGGTGTCAGTCCAGGATATTTGTGCAGTAGCTAGCTGGGCCACGCCGCTGACTTTTGTGCGGTTTTACAGGCTGGATGTGTCTCAACCTTCACTGGCGTATTCAGTGCTGGAGGCAGGATGCACAACATCTGCTTAGTGGTTAAGCAGAGTTTTTGCTGCAGCTCGCTTCGGGATGGATATGCAATCCAGGAGTGGGCCATATCTCCCATAGTGAAACACCGAATGAATTTAGAAAAAGAACATAGGGTTACGTTATGTAAACCCCGGTTCTTTGATAACAGTGAGGTGTTTCACCAACAATTCCCTTCTTGCATTAACGGTAAGAAATCATCCGAATGAGTAAGAGGGGTTGGTTGGCCATGTATATACTGGGTGAGCGGAGCCTGGGCACTGCGCAACCAGTCTGTCAGGGACAGACGTGATGTCATTGGATCTTCCGTAGTTGGTCACGCCAGGGCGATTCCCATAGTGAAACACCTCACTCTGTTATCAAAGAACCGGGGTTTATATAATGTAACCCTACGTTTCCTTCTTTTTTACTACAGTACAGCACTTTGGACAGCTGTCATGCTGTTTTTAAATGTGCTTTACAAATAAACATGGTATGGTATGGTATGCCTGCTGGTGGTCGTTGGAGGGACCGGTAGCGCATATGTATGGCAGACTCGCTTCTGTCAGTGTGCCCCTGGGCAGCTGTGGCTACAATGTAGCTCATCACCACCAGGGTGTGAATGTGTGTGAGAATGATTGATTGTGTTGTAAAGCATCTTGTGGGGTTCCAGGACTCTAGAAGACACAATATCATATACAGGCCATTTACCATTCAATTTCGGTCCCATCCCCCTCCATTCTCAAGGATTGTGGAAATGAGACTGACTTCATCGGACCACTTCTTCACCCTCCAGTCAGAATTGAAGGAGCTCCTGTCAAAGGAAGCCATCTCGAGGGGTCCAAAAGATGAGGTGAATTTGGGGTTCTATTCCCGCAATTTCCTTGTTACAAAAAAAGGCCAGAAGTGTCAGACTCATCCACGATCTGTTCCTGTTCAACTTTACCGCTTCATAGCGGAAAAGCGCTTCCGCATGATCACCATGAGACAGTTTTAGAGTTACGTTCGTCCAGGCAACTGGTTAACTTCTATCGACCTGAGGGACACATATTTCCATATTCCAGTGGTCCCGAAACACAGGAAATTCCTGTGTTTGTCCTTCAACAGAGTCCAATATCAGTACAACAGACTCCTGTTCAGTTACTCCCTCTCTCCCTGCACCTTCTAGAGTTGTCTAGAGACATCGCTTCAGCCATTACGCACGGTGGGCTTGATGGTTCTTTTTATCTGGATTATCTGCTCCTTCTGGCTCCCTCAGAGTCCGACGTGGAATCACAGATGAGAACACTAACAGAACATCTAATCACGTTAGGATGTTCGGTTTCTCCATAAATTGGGAGAAAAGTTCTGTGATCCCATCACAGCTGATCACCATTTTGGGCATAAAGCTGAACTCCAGCATCATGAGAGCCTACCTCTCCCAGTCTCAACACACGTAATCAGCCACATGCAACCTCGCCACACTGTGACAGCTCTTACAGTGATGAAGCTGCTTGGCTTGATGGCTGCAGGCCATATAGCAGTTCCTCTTGGTTTGCAACATATGACACGCATCCAATGCTGGTTCAGATATCTCAAGATAAACCTGCTGCATCACAAACAACATATGCTGCCCATTCCTCTCAGTAAAACGAGATCTGGAGCACTGGGGGAACCCCGACATCTTGATGCTTGGAGTCTCTCTTGGTCGTGCAATGTCACATGTTTCTGTTTTCACGGATGCATTCCCGTTAGGATGGGGGCATACATGCTTGTCCCATTCAGTGGGCGGCCAGGGCGTCACAGCCTTATCCGGGCTCTTACAGGTTTTAAGAAGTAAAAAACCCATACATGAATACAAATTGTAAGAATTTAAAAGCATGGCAAAAGCTCATAGGCTAGGTGCTAACTGCTACCCATAACACAGACATTTCACAAGCAAGAAAATACCTGCGATATTATGATACAGCACATCTTGAATGCATGAGCTCTGGGATGAAAAGTAGCTGAGGTCGCTTCTACATGCCAACATTTTTCCTTCCCAGTCTTTCTAATAGCGTTTGTGGGTCTGGGATTGTCACTCCATGAAATGTCAAAAGCTGGTATAATCAGCCTTAACTACGCCACTTATTTCGTCAAAACAATTAGTAGTTTCTGCACTGTAGCTGCATACGCTAGTGCACTTAGTTCTTTCACAGGCAGCCCTCTAAGGCGAATATGTTTTCAGTTCAACAACTTTCCACTGTTCAAATCATAAATTTTGCCGCTTTCCCTATCTATATGTATGTTCGCTTCTGTCAGTTTAGGGTCCAAAACACCAGAATGCATTGCGCACAACGCAGTACCGAAATGGCTTATTGGGGGGTCACAATCATCAAGCCACACACCTGGCAGGTAATGTTGGCAGTACAGCGCATTCAAATGTGTTATGCAACTGATCATTTGGGGCAGTGATACGCCTATGCTGCCGCCAGAAAACTTGTCCCCAGTTTCACAGTGGAAGCATCAGTGGCACAAAACGACAGCGAAACGGTTTACTCGCAAACTTCAAAGCGGTCCTTTTCACACCGGGAGAGTCTAGGCAGCAGCACGTCTTCTTCGCTGTGCTCTTCACTGGACGCGTGGTGGCAAACAACTAATAGCACATGGCTTCCTGCATCATAACTGTCGGTGTATCTATGATAAATAAGTAGTTGTACCTGTATTGGTTGGAAAAATCTTTCCAAACTATTCTCCTTTATGCTTCCTGTGAAGGCAGAGCCATCTTCTTGTTCGGTGCAGTATTGCTGTAGCTTTGACAGATCATTTGCTGCTGTGGCCCCCAGACTCTGGAACTCTCTCCCCCTGAGCCTGAGACCAGTGGACTCAGTGGTCTCCTTCAAAAAGCAGCTGAAGACTCACTTGTTCAAGCTGGCTTTTGTATGACCTTCTTCACCACTCTCTCTTTATTCGGCTCTCCCCACCTATTCCACCTTCCTCAGGATCCACTGATTTCCCTCTTTCCTAGTCAGACTCTCTCTTTCTTAACATTTTTTCTTTTAAGTCGCAATTGCCTATTCTTGCTCATTTTAAATATATTTTAAAACATTTTCTAAGTGCTTTTTTATATTTTTACAATTTTTTATATTTTTTGTTTTTGTTTTTGTGAAGCGCCTCATGATTTTTATCTTGAGAGGCGCTATAGAAATGATATTTTCTTCTTGTTCTTCAACAGAGTGGGAAAAAATCTCACCACAGTGTAGACTTTAGTCGCTGGAGCCTGCTAGTGTGGGGGTGTATATATAAAGCTAATGACGTTAACATGATAGGCGGTATTATTAGGAAAGGATGTGCGAACATCACCGCTGCTGCTGCGTTGAAATTCACTAGTCTGGAGCTGGTGAAAACACGTCATTTACTTAAAGTTATCGAGGATTTTGTGCCCAAATGCTTTTTCCTTCCCTTGATGAAATATCCACTATTGCAAGTCAACCTGTGGTTATCCTTTCTTGTAAAGGCGGCATTAAGAACATTGAGTGGCCAGTAAAATTTTGAATCTGGTGGATGAAAAAGTTAATTTCCTGCCCTAAGAGTAATGATGACCGGATAAGAGAATAATTCTATAGTTGTATACTTTTGCAGATTGCCCACAAGTTCAGCTTTCCAATATTTGTTCAACTATCTTTTTAGACCATTCACATGGAGGGACCTTTAGCAGAGGACATTGAAGGTATGTGTATGCAATGTTCTTAAATTGATACTAAATTATCTGTTTTACCTGTTTTGTGTATTTTATTCTTACAAGTAATTATTTATGTCCAGATGTCTGTGTGCTAGGTGACAAGGGGTCAGACGATGAGGTCAGCATGTCATCCAGGCAAGAATGTACCTCCATATCAGAAAGTCAAAACCAAAGAGTGTCTGCAACAGGTGAGCTTCAATGCAGTTCTTAGCTTTGGTGCATTTTCACACAGTGCATGACAAAAATTAGCATCAACAACCCCATCTCCCTCCTTTGTCCCAACCACCTCCTCCTCCTGCAACTCTGTCAGGAGACCTGTCTGGTGCAGAGGCTGCACAATCAACACAGTCAAACACAACCCCAGTTTTAAAACTGAACATTGGGTTAGTACTGCCTTACATTACAAGCAGCTTTAACTTTTAGGTTAGCGTGCATCCACCTGCTGCTTATAGGTTGCTTCAATCTCTCTGCGTGGACTTCACGCAGGGATAGCATAGCTACAAAACACCTCTCTCATTATAGAACATCTGGTAGGTCCACGATAAAGTGACGCAGGACAATTCCCTGAGCACATTTATCTGCTGAATAATTGTGATTGCACAAGGGGGAGATTAAAAGATTAGTTTTATTTAGAACAATTTAAATCACGTTTACCTCATACATGGGTGAGAGAGACGGACAAAAATAGATTCAAAGAAGGATTTTATTACAAGAAAGGACTCACATATATTTATATGCACGTACAGTACATTAAGACACACGTGACAAACATTAATAATAGAAGGAAAAGAGGGTTTTACACTGTCAGAACAAGCAGCGGAGAGCCAACACGCCAGAAGCCTGTTCCAGGCCTCTCGACACCTCAGCTCTCGGTCAGTCCTCTGCACTCCAAATGGTTTTATTCCACCCACAGTCTTCCAAACAAAGACCCGTAAATCTCTGTCAGGAGGTTTGGCCAACCACCGCATGTCTAAGGCGGGGATTTCTCAAGTCACAGAGTTTTTGTTGAAAGCCAAAACCTGCTGGCTACTTAATTTATGACTGACAGCCAGGAATTCAGTTTCCAAAGCTACGAGTTACCACTCACTCTTGCAACCTCCAATGTAACCATCCTGTAAGACCAAGTGAAGAGGACAAAAAGGCCCTTTAACTGAAAACAACTGAGGATAAGAAAAAACCCTTTAATCCACAAGTTTATTATTTTATTACTTAAAAAGAGGAGCATTTTAAAAATACCTATCATTATCCAAGTCTCCTTCATGGCAGCAAACGGACTCCACGGTTGTTGCTCCACGGCTGAGCAGTGACCGCATTTGCACTACAAAGGGTTGCCAACCCTCTCCTCACTGTCATCTTTGTCCGTAGCCGCTGTGCCCCTCCTCCTCATCACTGGCTTAAACGCATACTGTATGCCATCGGGTTAGATGACATGAACTAAACTCGCTCAGCTTCATCTTGACATTTTTCCTCTTCAACTATGTACTTGTTCTCCACTCGCTGTAACTGTGTACTCGTGCAGAATTGAGGAGAAAAAATGTCTTAATAGCCATGCAATCTCTCCATGAAGTCTGTGCCCTGAGATTGGAGCAACCTATAAACAGTAGGTAAGTGCACACTAACCTTAACTATAACGCTACTTGTAATGTCAGTAACAATGGTCGCTGTCTGGTGAAATCAGTTCATATTCCATGCTTTCGTTCTTTTTTAAACACAGAAACAGTTTTGTTTACCTGTTTTGTAGCTACATTTTCGCCGACGGCTGCCGTCGGTGAAACTGTAGGTAAACAAAACAGTTTCTGTGTTTAAAAAAGAACGAAAGCATGGAATTAGAACCACGACACAGTAAGAACACACCTAAGAAATCAGTTCATTTTATGTTGTCCAACATCCAATCTTTGAGGCGTACAGCTACTTCAGCACTAGTGGGCTGCGTAGGACAGTCTTTCGTCTGTACACTATATGAGGAAATGTATTGCTTGAGGACCACAATCCTGCAAGTCTTGGATGTTTCCCTGCTGCAACACACCTGATTCATTGTGCAGAGCTTGGCAACAAGCTGTTTGATCTATTTAACTTGAATCAGGCGTGTTGAAGCAGGGAAACATCTCAGACCTGTAGGATGTGGGTCCCTAAAGAGTGAAGTTGGCCATCCCTGGGCTAACATGACAATTAATATTTTTACTTCACTAGTCACTTGAAAATGATTTAGAATAGGAGACAGAATGAAATTCCGTCTCTCCCTTTAAGAGACACAAATTCCATATACTTATTTTATAAAATAACAACCACTATACTGACGGCTATTACATATTTTGTGTATTGTATACTTTAATAAAGTTATTTCTTGATCCAGATGTCAGTATGCCAGAAGAGGGGTCAGAACATGAGGTCAGCATGTCATCCCTGCAAGAATGTACCTCCACGCCACAAGTCCAAAACCAGACTGTCTCTGCAAAAAAGAGAGGTAAGGGCTTGCACTCTCTTGCACTCTGGGGCATAAGGACCCGTTTTACTGTGCCATGGTTTATCGTCCTCCTGGTCCAAACAGTTCTTTTCTTAAGGAGTTTAGTGTCTTTCTATCCTCCACCTTGAAGCTGTCCAGACTGGTTATTGTTGGTGATGTTAACATCCACGTAGGGCTGGGCAATATGGCCTAAAATCAATATCACGATATATTGAGGATTTGAACCTCAATAACGATAAATGGACGATAACTACAGGTATGTGCAGAAACAAAAGTTGTTCACTAGATGGGGCTGTCACATGTATTACGTTGAATCACATTTTTATGTGACTCAAGGTGGTACAGCTTCTTAAAGGGACATGAACATTGCCAACTTACACACCTTTTTTTTTTAATCAAATTTATTGACATGGGAAAAATTATCTCGATAAGAGGCAGAAATTTCGATAGTGATACATTTTCGATTTATTGCCCAGCCCTACATCTACGATGATGCCTCAGACCACTTTCTCATTACCTTGTCCAGCCTCCTGACTCCTTCAGCTTTACCCAGCATGTTGCTGGCCCCACACACACCAAGGGACACACTCTAGACCTTGTTTTTACTTTGGGTCTACATGCTGGTAGTGTTTGTCCTGAGGATGTTCATATTTCAGATCCCCATTGCGTTATCTTTAACTTGTCAGTTTCCCCACCTCCTGCTCACCTTCTGGTTAGTTCTCGTTTTCTTAATGAGAGCACAGCTAGCAAATTTTCTGCTGCTATTGATCCACCCTGTTCTTCTGATAACGACCCAGATTCCTTAACTTCTCAGTTTAACAAGCACTGCATTTCCATTCTGGACAACATCTGTCCTGTCAGAACCAGATCAGTTCCTGCAGTGAACTCTACTTCCTGGGGGCAGCAGTAGCTCAACAGGTTGAGCGGGTTGTCCAGTAATCGGAAGGTTGCAGGTTCGATCCCGGCTCCGGACAGAGAATGCTGCTGTTGTGTCCTTGGGCAACACACTTAACCCACCTTGCCTGCTGGTGGAGGTCAGAGGGACCGGTGGCGCCTGTGCTCGGCAGCCTCGCCTCTGTCAGTGCGCCCCATGGCAGCTGTGGCTACATCATAGCTCATCACCATCAGTGTGTGAATGTGTGTGTGAATGGATGAATGATACACTGTAGTGTAAAGCGCATTGGAGTCCTTACTCTGAGAGGTGCTATACAAGCGCGGGTCATTTATCATTATCATTTAATGACAGCCTTTGCAGCCTAAAGCACCAATGCAGAAAAATTGAGCGTGTTAAAGTGGAGAATGCTCCCTTTACGTGAAATAAGGAATGTTATTTTAACAACCTTTGGAAATGATTAATATTGATTGAATATTAATTCGGACAACGCTTATTTTTCTCAGAAGACCTAAAGAACTTTTTATTCTCAGGTATTTAGACTCGCTTGAATAAAGATCAACCTTCAACAATTTTAAAAGAATTTAATTTATAAATCACAATTTAAAATCTCACACAGTTAACAATTCCCTGATGTTTAATGAGCTAAAATGTGCATGAGAGCAGAGCTTAGCTGAGGGCTTAGTTCATCTGTCTGAAACAGAAATGATGTTTTGGGTTAGTCTACTGTGTCGCTTTGGAACAAGAAGTGATCATGAGTGCCCTAAATCACCTGGGGGGTGTCTTGGACGGACCCCGGTCGATGGAGGAACTCGGTCGCTCCCAGCTGGTCTCCCAATCCGTGAGGCTTTGAGGTTAAAGTCCACTGGTCAAAATCAGTCTCTGATTGGCTCAAGTTTAAGCAAACCGTTCCACGGTTGATGGTGGAACTCAGTTGGTGTTTTCAGCTTGCTTGCAAGTGTCCAGAACCTGGCAGCGTGCCAAAGTTCTGATGTTGTCGAAGAGGAATTCACGGGCCCTGTGAAGTCTCAACGAACTGACTCTCAGCTCGCTTATCAGTAGTTTTGTAGAACGACCCCCCTTCCCCGGGCATTCCCAGATCGTGACGTCTTTGCCCTTGAGAAGCTCTGCTCTTGCCTGCTGTGTGTTTAACAATATGTGGTGTATTATTCGTTATCACATCATCTCCATTAAACATCATTTACAAGTTTGATCACAAATTGATTCAGCAGTTGATCATATTAATTAATTCATCAACAGATCTCATTCTTTATTAAAATCATAAGATGAACAGTTCAGCTGTCCTCCTTCCCCACACTGCGTCCTTGACAACTGGTTATCAGAACCCAGCCTCTGCCGTCCTTGCAGAAGGAGAGTGTGTCTCAGCAGCCATCTCGGCTCCAGGTAAAAGCAGAGGCACATGTCGGGTCAGTTTGACCCGTCACAGAGGTTGATGGTCAGTAGCTTGTTGTTGTTACAAGCGCTTGTGGAAGAAAACCCGTCTCCATGTCCATCTGCTGCATCTAAAGAATCTTCTGACTTCCTTTAACTCTGCAGTCAGAGATGCAAAGGTTGACTATTTCTCCAACCTGGTGTCCCAGAGCAAAGAGAATCCCAAGGTGCTGTTTAACACCATCAGAAGCATCTTCTCCCCTGCCTCTCCTACAGCCTCCATTCACTCTGTTGTAGACTGTGAGAACTTTCTGTCTTTCTTTGTGGACAAAGTCAATAAGGTCAAATCTAGCATCTCTCCCTCAGCCTTATCTCTGCCTCTCCTGACTCCAACCAGGCCCATCATCCTACATAGCTTTGCTCCTGTTTCTTTGCCTGAGTTAACCAAACTAGCCAACTCTATGAAGACCTCTGCATGCCCCCTCTACATCTTACCCTCATCTTTGTTTAAAAGTGCTTCTCAGTCCATCGATCCCAGCGTGCTCTCCACAATTAATGCTTCTCTGGTTTATGGTCAGGTCCCTGCTTACTTTAAAAACGCTGTGGCCATCTCCAAGGTCCTCCACCACCTCCCTCACCCATGATGTCCCACAAGGTTCTGCACTGGGGCCTCTACTCATCTTCCTCTATCTGATTCCTCTTCAGCACATCCTGAGCTCTTTCAGAGGAATCTCCTACCATCTTTATGCAGATGACATCCCAGCTGTACATCTCCTTTAAGCCCCATGAGATGTCTAAGCTGCAGCTGTTACACACCTGCTTAGACTCTATCAAAACCTGGATGGTGGGAGCTTTCTTCAGCTGAATGAAGATAAGACTGAGATCCTCATCTGTGCCCCAGACAAGCTGGTTCCCAAAGTCAGAGATCTTGGTCAGCTTGCTTCTCACACCAAACCCTCCGTCAGGAGTCTTAGTGTGACCTTTGACCCGGCTCTCACCCTGGATTCTCATGTCCGTTCTCTTGTTCGCTCTTCCTTCTTTCATCTCAGGAACATTGCAAAGCTGAGTCCCATTTTGTCCTGCTCTGAACTTGAGACAGTTCTCCACACCTTCTTCTTCTCACGCTTAGACTACTGCAACTCTTTTCACGTGTCTGAGCAGAACCTCCCTGAACCGTCTACAGGTGGTTCAGAATGCCTGTCAGCTCAGCTTCTAACCAGGACCTCCAAACACACCCACATCACCCCGCTTCTCCTCCAGTTTCAGTGGCTGCCAGTCAACTTCAGGGTTCATTTCAAGATCATGGTTCTGGTTTATAGGGCCTTACATGGACAAGCACCACCATACTTTGGTGCTCTTCTCAGACCCTACACCCCAGCAGGTCCCTGAGGTCCAGTGACCAAAGCCTACTGTTAGTCCAGCTCAAGGCAAAAGACCAAAGGTGACAGATCATCTGCTGCTGTAGCCCCCAGACTCTGGACCTCTCTTCAAGTACATGGAAATGGTACAAATGGAATTCTGTTACCTGATTTGTTTACATGCAGTAAGTTTTGTGCTGACCACCATCAGAGGGCCTTGGGGATTTATGAGACTGAATTTGTGGAATAATTTTGGACAATAACCAAAATTGTTGTAATTCTAAAACAGTGGGTCTTACAGTGTTAATCAAGATTAAAACTTCTTTATAATAGAAAACCTACATTGTTTTGTTTTTGTCCACACAGAAAAACAAACAGCTGTCAAGAGAAGCTGGACCCCAGAAGAGTGTGCTGCAGTGGACAAACATTTGAGGAGATTTATCGTGAGGAGTCAAGTTCCTGGTAAAGAAGAGTGTCAGCGCTGTATTACTGCTGCACCTGAAGCTCTCAGAAACAGAGACTGGAAAGCTGGTAAATATTATGTTAAAAATCGCATTACAGCCCTGAGAAGAAAAGTAGTATAAAAGCACCTAATTGAACGGAGGTAAAAGCAAAACATTGGATGTCAAAATGTTTTGTCCTTTGTTGTGTTTGTTGTTACTTTTTGTTGTTTTTGTAAGGGTTTGCTCAGGTTTTATGGCTGTTCCGTTGTGTACAAATAAAAACATTTCACAGGTTTTTTTTGTATATTTTTTACACCTGTAATAACAAGGCATTTTGAATGCAGTCCAATGAAACGCATAATTTCAATGCCAATGTAACAAAAAATGTTGGGTTTGCATAGAACTTCAAACTGATATTGTTAAAACATTCAGTGGAGATTAGATTAATGATTTAATAATTAAAAAAATCACAAGCATATGGCATAAAATGTAATTAAATTGGTCATTTCAATTTTGTTATTAAACTGTCTTTGAAGCTGAATGTCTTGTAATCTGTCATCGCAGATAGAAATGTTCACACATATACATAATCACTTATTACAAAAAAATATTTTAGTCCAACATGAGGAAACTGGGAGTAATAATAAAGACTGGTATCAGAAGCTGCAGATAGTGACCGTGGGCCCCATTAACATATAAAAACTTGATATGTACGTGTGTATGTGAATGGACCTCACAAGTATGCAATGCTAGAAACGGTCCCCACAAGTGGCCAAATACCTTTTTGGTCAAAACTTTAGAAATGTGTTAAATTGAAGTGATATTAATGATTTAGATTTTTTTTTACATCTAACCTTGTTTTTAAAAGCGATGTAGGACCACTGGAAAGGGTGGATCCCATAAAGCATAGAAAAACCGGTGGGCCTCATAAGGGGCAAAAACCAGAATGTGTGTGTGTGTGTGTGTGTGTGTGTGTGTGTGTGTGTGTGTGTGTGTGTGTGTGTGTGTGTTATAGAATATGTGTTCATGTGGTTACCTATGTGTTAGAGCTGGGCAATAAGTCGAAAATTTATTGTTGTCGAAATTCATGACTTATCGAGAAAATTTTTCCCGTGTCAATAAATGTGTGAAGGTTGGCAACATTCACGTCCCTTTAAGAAGCTCCACCACCTTGAGTCACGTAAAAATGTGACTTAAAGTAATGCACGTGACAGCCCCATCTAGTGGACAACTTTTGTTTCTGTCCACATTTGTAGTTATCATCAACTTATCGTTATCGAGGTGAAATCCTCATCATATCGTGATATGGGTTTTAGGCCATATCGTCCAGCCCTACTGTGTGTGCAGATCTGAGCTTCGTGTTTGTGGGTGTTTAAAAGTGCATTTGTCACCAAGAGTTTTGTTTTACTTACTTTTTAAAATGTTGTGTATGTGATGAGGGAGGGGCTTTGCGCAGCAGCCCAGGTCCCACTAACAGCAGAGTCTGGGGCCAGACACGCCTGCAGCTGATAGCCACCAGTAGATGGGCTAACCCTAACCCCAACCCACAGGGCAGACCCAGGCACAAGGAAGAAAGGGGGCCAGCCAAGATGTCAGGGCACCAGCCCTGAGTCTAAGGGAACCCATTAGGAGTCAATAAGCCCAGAGCCGCCTCTCCGACACACTGTCGCCCCCACTGATACAAACCAGCCCAGAGTGAGATGACCCCATGCCCCGAGGGCCCACCACAACACCCCATGAGGAGCCAGCATGGGGCAACAAGCAGTGAGGGAAACCCTTTAGCCGCTGCCCCAACCCATGGTGAGGATGGTAGTTGGAGAGGGCACGTTGAGGTCTCCTTCGTTTGTGATGCATTCCCATGATGGCACCCTAATGGAAGTAAGGGCCAAACTCAAGAAAGTTTTTGGACTAAGTTTTCCTGTAGGGGTTTATTTTGTCACAGCTAAACTGCATCAGCAGATTTAGAAGGATCCCAGTTAAAGATTCAACTCCAGGAAATGAATATGTTCTCCTTAAATTCTACAGAAGGACCACAAAAATGCTGTGATGTAATTTTTACAATGAGTGTAAATTATAAAGTAATGCATTCAACAGTTAACAATAGTTATTGGTCACATTTAGTTTCTAATTTCCATCCATCCATCCATCCATCCATCCATTTTCATCCACTAATCCGGAGACGGGTCGAGGGGGCAGTAGCCTAAGGCGAGAGGCCCAGACTTCCCTTTCCCGAGCCACTTGGGCCAGCTCCTCCAGGTGAATCCCAAGGCGCTCCCTGGCCAGGTGAGAGACATAGTGCCACCACCGTGTCCTGGGTCTACCTTTAGGTCTCCTCCCGGATGGACGTGCCCGGAAAACCTCACCAGGAAGGCGTCCAGGAGGCATCCTGACCAGATGCCTGAGCCATCTCAACTGGCTCCTCTCGATTTGGAGGAGCAGCGGGTCTACTCCGAGACCCTCCCAGATGACCAAGCTTCTCACCCTATCTCTAAGGGAGAGCCCAGCCACTCTTCGGAGAAAACTCATTTCGGCTGCTTGTATCCGCAATCTCGTTCTTTCGGTCACTACCCAATGCTCATGACCATAGGTGAGGGTAGGAACGTAGATCAACCGGTAAACCAAGAGCTTCGCCTTCTGACTAAGCTCTCTTCACCACGACAGACCGGTACAACGCCCGCATCACTGCAGATGTAGCACCAATCCGCCGATCTATCTCACGCTCCAGTTTTTCCTCACTCGTGAACAAGACCCCGAGATACTTAAACTCCTCCACTTGGGGCAGGACCTCATCCCTGACCCGGAGAAGGCATTCTACCCTTTCCCGAATCAAGACCATGGTCTCAGATTTAGAGGAGCTGATTCTCATCCCAGCAACTTCACACTCGACTGCGAACCGCTCCAGCGAAAGCTGAAGATCACGTTCTGATGAAGCCAACAGGACCATATCATCTGCAAAAAGCAGATACCTGATCCTCAGACCACCAACACGGATGCCTTCCACACCTTGGCAGCACCTAGAAATCCTGGCCATAAATGTTATGAACAGAATCGGTGACAAAGGGCAGCCTTGGCGGAGTCCAACTCTCACTGGGAACGAGCCCCATTTACTGCCGGCAATGCGGACCAAGCTCTGACACCGGTCATACAGGGACCTAACAGCCCATATCAGAGGGCCTGGTACCCCATGCTCCCAGAGTACCCCCCACAGGGGCCCCCGAGGGACGCGGTCAAACGCCTTCTCCAAATCCACAAAACACATGTAGACTGGTTGGGCAAATTCCCACACACCCTCCAGGATCCCCGTAAGGGTATAGAGCTGGTCCAGTGTTCCACGGCCAGGACAAAAACCACATTGCTCCTCCTGAATCTGAGGTTCAACAATTCGATGGACCCTCCTCTCCAGAACCCCTGAATAGACCTTACCAGGAAGGCTCAGGAGTGTAATCCCCTGTAGTTGGAACACACCCTGCGGCCCCCCTTTTTAAATAAGGGGACCACCACCCCGGTCTGCCAGTCCAGTGAGACTGCCCCTGATGTCCACGAGATATTGCAGAGATGCGTCAGCCAACACAGTCCCACAACATCCAGAGCCTTAAGGATCTCCGGGCAGATCTCATCCACCCCTGGAGCCTTGCCACAGAGGAGCTTTTTAACCACCTCAGTGACCTCAGCACCAGAGATTTGAGAGGCCAACCCAAAGTCCCCAGACTCTGCTTCCTCACTGGAAGACGTGTCGGTGGGATTGAGGAGGACTTCAAAGTATTCTGCCCACAGATCCACAGTGTCCTGGGTAGAGGTCAGCAGCACACCATCCCCACTATAGATAGTGCTGGTAGCGCACGGGCGCCAAATGGTGGACCAGAATCTCCTCGAAGCCAAACAGAAGTCTTGTTCCATGGTCTCACCGAACTCCTCCCATGTCCGGGTTTTTGCCTTGGCGATGTTGCGGATATTAAGCCAACGAATAATTTGTAAGCTTTTACTTACTTTTTGGATTATTCAATAAAATTCGTAAATATGGAAATATTTACCGATTTTATTACGTAATTAGGGTGTCCGGAGATATGCCTCGGGGCACCACCCTTTTTAACAAGGGAAAATGAATCCAAACCTCTTATCAGTCTGTCTTAAAGTTAGTAAAATTTGTTTACGAGCAGCAGTCATAAATTCATATCACACAAACAAACTCACCTGAGACAAAATCTTAATTGGCAATGACCTTTATTAACTAATATATTCACTACAGCTCCTTCTAAAGTGTTTGGCCAATCAACATCAACCAACTTATTTTATCAAATGAATAACAAGTAATTAAACAATGGAATGATAATGTAAAACAATCTGAGGTGGTGTAATCTCAAGATGGAGGTAGTTGAAACAAAATGGCTGACTCCTGGGATCCAACCACTTATGGAATGTGTGTGTGTGTGTGTGTGTGTGTGTGTGTGTGTGTGTGTGTGTGTGTGTGTGTGTGTGTGTGTGTGTGTGTGTGTGTGTGTGTGTGTGTGTGTGTGTGTGTGTGTGTGTGTGTGTGTGAACTGTGTGTGGGAGGTAACTTTTTGTCCTCTCCCCACCACACTGAAAACCAGTGTGTGTAGGAGCTTTCACAGTAAACTTTGCTAAACACTTTAAAATCACAGTGAAACTTAACCAAAACACTTTGAATTGTTTCTCAGTTCAAGGAAAACAACAAATCAATCAAATTGAATATCTAAAAAGCCTGTCCAGCCGGGACCAGCTTAAACAAACACAGATATCACAATAATAAAACAAACAGACCTTACTTGGAGTTCTGATGGCGGTTTTTGGTACGAAAGAGAAAAACCCGTCTCCTATTTTGAAGCAAATCACGCGGTTGTCTGCTTGTTTGGCTATGAGAAACGGGAGGGGAAGATAGATAAAGGAGAAAACAAGAAAAAAATAGATAAAGGAGAAAACAAGAAAAAAAACCTCTTCTCTGAGCCAATTCAAGGCGTCCCTTGGCAATCGCGCTAAGCAGATGTGATGGTTTTCCGCTGCTTTTCCTCGGCTCAGCCTCTTGTCGTTTCCGAAGCCTTAGCAGAACGAGCGTCTCTTCAAACACCAGCTGAAGCTGGACACAAAGAGAAAGTTTCTCTCTGCGCTTCAGCCCTTAAACACACTCATGCGGGCGGGACCCTGGGAGTTCAGAGGTCATCACGCTACTTCCGTGTGCAAAGGCTCATGTGACATGAAGTTGTAGCTGGCGCTGATGTTTAATATGCCTTATTTCTTTACGCTTCAGGGCGGTTTTCACACAGTCTTTTGGAGAAAATACTGAGTAGCAATTTCTCATGAGGGCAGACCCTCAACAGCGACCACCCGAGCCACGTTCCGCTCGGACTGCTGGTAACCGTCAGCTGCCTCTGGAGTCCCACAGGCCAAAAAGACCTGAAAGGACTCTTTCTTCTGATTGACAGCATCCCTAACCGCCAGTGTCCACCAGCGGGTTCGGGGGTTGCCACCACGACAAGCACCGACGATCCTGCGACCACAGCTCCGGTCGGCCGCCTCAACAATAAA